TCTCCCCGCTCCCGCTCCCGCCCCGGTCTGGCGCGCTTTCCCCCCCTAACACGCCGGGCTCACGAGCGCCCCCTCCCGCCCTCGCGGCGAAGAACGGGCCGGGCGGAGTTTCCCTTCTGCCTCTCCTAAAAATCCGTTCCTCCCAACTGCAAAACTGGAGGCAGCCTGAGGGAGCCATCTTGGGAAAGGAGCGAGAGGATTTTAATGCCGAATGTCGTTTTGCTCCTTATAATTATTGTTGTTGTTATTATCGCTACCCCGACCTTGGCATGGAAAGAGAGCTTTACGCCGGTAGACGGTGTGAGGGTGTAGAGTACTGTTGTGCATTTATCGTTTGGAGCAATTCCTGCTTCAACATCAACAGAAGTGAAGTAAAATTGGCAACTTTCCCCCTTCTATCGGGCCTCCTGCCCTGCGTCTTCATTAGTTACATAAGAGGAAAGAATTGAGGGGGTAATTAAAGAAGCCCTAAGATAAAAAGAGAGCACTTTAAATACAGCAGTAGTGTACAAGGAGTTGTTTTAGGAAGGTGTAGACTGGAAAACGAGGTACATTGGCTGAAATTGCTCTGCTCTGCAGCGACCAAAGGCTGGAAAGAAGAGCCCCCTTTCCTTTTCCACCGGGCCACCCTGAGGCAACTGGCAGGGATGTGTGCTTCCTTTGGTTACTCAGCACTTCGGCTGAGTTCTCCAGTTCTCAGCTGGGAACAACCCTTGGGCCAGCAGGGTGTTAATTAAGTACTTTGTGAACTACCCCAACTTAATTCATATCACTTTGTGGCAATGCACTCATGAATCAGGCTGGGCTCCTTCTTTATTCTTATTTTTTAAACAAGCATCCTCTGCTTGTGTGACCTGAAGAAATGTGATGGCATGCTTGCCCTGTTATGTGAGCTTCACAGATATACTGTATCTGTGGGTGAGAGTAGCATTAGAGTGTATAAGCCATCTCTGAATATCATGTTCTCTGTGGCCACTACAGATGTTTCTGGTTGTCTTGTTTGCATTTGTAACCAGATGGGTCAGTGTTGAATGCATTGCTATAATATTAACGACATTGAAATGACAGATGTCTTCATGTGCTGTTCCTTGTCCCTTGGATCTAGTGTTTTTATGTGCATTCTAAATACCAGGCATCTCGTTTAGCGTTTGAAATATGTTCTGAGACCTACAGTATAAAACCTATCTCTCTCTTATAAGGGGGAATCAATGTGTCTTATTATTATACAGCCTGTATCTCCTGGTGAGAGCAAGTGTGGGGCAGTGGACAGAGCAATACACTAAGACTCAAGAGTTTAAATCTCTGCAAGCTCATGCAGTAGCATCCGTAAAACAACACCATAAATACATTGTATGCTTCAAAAACCCTACTGGCTGAAAGCAGCTTGACAGCACATTACATATTCCTCCTGCCACCAGCCTATTTATTCTAATTATTTAGCCTCATGGTGCCCAGAGTAGCTCAGAATTTATAGAAAGCCCCTGCTTGCTTCCATGTTCTCTTGGCTGTTGCATTCAGTTTCTACTTCAGAAATGTTAGCAACAAATACAGTATTAAACTTTTACAAGACACACTAAATAGATATAAGAACACAAATGTGCATCCTCATCCTCATGACTTGAATGGGCTGCAAGTATTTTCGGCATAGCAATAAGCTTCTGCCTCAGCTGAATCTCCACCGAACAACCAAAACTCAGAAAAGTGTAACAATTGTATTTACTCCCTGGTACCATGTTGGCACCCTGGGGATAACTAGCAGCAAAATGTGCGAACCAGCTCCATTTAAGAGGCCAGATTCCGAATCTAGCTAGTACAACCGTTTCATCCACATTCGATCATTTGATCTGTGAGGTCTTGCACACACAAGTCACCACTTGATGCTGGTGTCATAAAAGTATTAACTTGCATTAACTCAGAAGCTGAAGTGGCTTCCTGACAGGGAGCTGATGGAAATACTTCGTCTGATTACTTTTTTTTTACCGCTATAGGTGTGGCAGTGACATATGATTTCTGCCAAGAAGGCAGCCAGACCTATAGAGTCTTCACCCAAGACTGCTTTGTGTGGAGTAGTTAACATTTCAAAACACACTGTGAAAAATGTTCAGTAATATCTCCTTTATTTCTGCATGCTGTGGTAATGGCTACAGTGTTGGTTTACATTGTCCCACCCGGTATGTGACATATAATAGGATTTGGCTTTGGGGATATTACAGCAGATGTCATGTTTTAATATGTATGATGGTATGTTAAAAACTGAATCAGGACAGAGTTGTATACTTGCAATCATTTAATACAGATTAATTATTGCTAATTATAATATTAGGAAACTATGGTAGCAGGCAGTTAAAGTTATGCATTTCAAAGCTTTATTTCCCTGCCACTAGAACATCAGTTATTCTAGAACTGTGGTTTCATAAAATATAAACTTTAGCTCAGTAGGGTTCTTTGCATTTGAATATCATTTGAGGACTGAGATTCCTCCTTAACGCCAATTAGTAAGAAGTAGGATACGTTCTGCTTTAAGTTTCTGTTACTGCATAGCTGCAAGGGACTAAGTGACACCCATTAATTGCATGAATTAAACATAATCAACATGCTGAATACACATTAGGCTAAAGGATGCTTTCCTTTGCAGGAGGCTGGGAATCTGACCTCTGTCAGCCTTTTTTCAGACAAGCCTGAGCAGAATGTTCTAAATCCAGCAAAGACGACCATGTACTGGGAAGTCCGACAGGGAAAGCACCAGCCGCTCACCGACTCTCAAGGTGAGGACCGTATTCGTGTCCCGTCCTGCTCACTTTGGACCATTGAAATTGAACAGGCTCTGCTGCTGGAGGAAAGAAGGCTACATTGTGCTGCGGTTCCTGGTTAAGAGCAGCGAGTAGACCTTTGTTGGCTTTCCTGATCTAAGGGTAGGGTGAGATTCACTCTATCATGGCTTCAAGGGCAGGGCCACACAAAATGCCTTGCAGCAGCCTAGCACCAAAGGTCGTTGTTTTGTTTGTTTGTTTGTTTAAGACGTCTTATACAGAGAACATCTTGGAAAAGTTTGCCTCTGCCTTAGGTTCAGAAAGAGGCTTCTTTGTAATCGAGAGCTTGGAAATCTTGCTTTAAAAAACAACTTATTTATTTATTTATTTATTTGAGTTATATCCCGCCCATCTGGTCTGTACAACCACTCTGGGCGGCTTCCAGTATAACATATATACATTAAAATAGCACAAGAACATTAAAATAGCACAAGAACATAACTATTGTCACTCCTCTTTTATCTTTTCTTCTGTGAGTGATACCAATTGCCTTATTTAAACTGAAACTCAGAATTATTTCTGTTCTAATCTTGTTGGAGCTACTGATATTCTGTGTGACCTTTTTTATTAAGCTTTTTGGATATACTTCATCCTCTGTTTCACTCGACAGATTATAATGGATGTAGTCCAGAAATACTATTTACCACCATTGGTGAGGTATACAAGTTTAATCAATAAAGAAAGAAACAAATAATTTGATATTTTTGCTTCATTTGGGACACTGAACATGCAAAAGGAACAAGCATATTATGGATTTTGGTTTTATTGCACTTCAAAGTATAAGGATCTAATTATTACTTCTAAGGAGTGTACATGTTAAAGCAAATTTAATATCTAGATTATAGGTTCTTAACCTGTCATTCACGGATCCTCAGGGGGTGCAATGCCCTCACAGGGGATCCACAAAGGTTTGAAGAAATGTTATGATTTTTGCAGTTAAAATATAAAGAAACAGTTAATCAATTAAAGCAAGAAAAAAAGGAAACTTAGAACAAAATCTTAATTTCTCTTGCTTGTTTGTGTAAAACTTGGGTTTTCCAACCTACCCCCTCCACTAAAAACAAGCAAAAGTGAAAATCACTTATGAAAATAACTGATAGCAAACAACTGTTTGATATTTCTTCGCACAATGAGAACATGCAAGTGAATGATGCTGAGTGGCTGAGAGACACCATATGACATTTATTGTTCTTATGCAGACAGTCAAAAGCTGTGGGAAGAAAGAGTCGGAGTCAGTCAGTATCAGTGTGAATTTCTTGATTGGACTTGGTGATCATGTTTCTTCTTAAATTTCTGCTAATAAAACTGTTTGGTTCTTGTCAGGTAAAGTGACTTTTTGCTATAATCACGGTGAACTTAATACCAATACATTTTGGATGAGCCTCAGACTGGATCGCTGGCTGAATTTGAAACGTTAAAGTACTGATGATGTTGGTGAGGGTGTATCCTGTTTAAAGCAAAATTAAGCCTCTTCCAGTCATCTTAAAAAGTGTCACCATTATAGAAAGGAATGCCTGTTGACCAGCTTCACATATACAGGTCCTGAAGACAAGCAACCACCACAATGTATGTTGTGCTATGAGGTATAATCCAACGAGGCCATAAAGTCACCAAAATTGCTAAGACATCTCGATAGTGTACTAAGCATAAAGAACATGACAGAAAGAGCATCGTTGTTTTTTTTCAAAAGCAAGCTTTCCTCCTCCATGATTCAGGCAGGACCCGAAGCATAAAGAACATGACAGAAAGAGCATTGATTTTTTTTTCAAAAGCAAGAAGCATGAGCTTTGGGAAAATAAGGAAATGATTAAAAAAATACTGCAATTGTAACAATAAACTGCAATGAGGGCCTCGTTTGAAGTTTCTCATACTGTAGCAAAAAAATTGAAAACTGCACACAAGAGCTGAAGAACTTACATTACCTAATACAAAAATCATGGTTTCTGCATTGATCAATGAGAAAGCTGCCAAGGACCTTTCCTCAATACCTTTGTCAAATTATACTGTTAAGAAGCAAATCAACAGTCAGTCAATATCAAGAAACAATTATTAGAAATAATTTGCATGTCCCCCTGCTTTGCACTGCAATTGGACGAAAGCACAGACACAAGAAATAAA